ATATATATATATATATACATATACATATGCATATACATATATATATATATATATATATACATACATACATGCATACATACATACATACATGCATGCATGCATTCATGCATGCAAACAAACGTGCATACACACATATATATACATAAACATATATAAACATATATGTCTGTATGTATGTATGTATGTATGTATGCATGTATGCATACATATATATACACATATATATGTATATATATATATATGTATATATATATGTATATATATATGTATATATACACATCTATATACATATATTACATGGCTATCCAACAACATTCCTCAAAAATGCCTGCCCTCGCGCCCCTGCGAGTTCTCCCGAAAACCACTGGTGACTCAACCTTTTTTTTCATACAACTCTGCCAGACAAGCCCATAGCGAAACACATCGAAATCATTCGAACGCCCTCGCGCGCGTGCTGGGGGGGGGGGGGGGGCGATCCGTGTCAAGCACTACCATGCTGGCCACTCTCGCGAGCCGGCCGCGCACGCATGTCGAACTTCCTCCAAAACCTTAATCACCGACGCGGCGACAATTTCACACTTCGCGGCCTCCCAGGGATGGCGAGGTACCGGTTGGATCTGCGCGTGGCCCCCCTGTGCTGGCTCCCCCAGCAACCCTCGAAAGTTGCACCGTCTTCACACTGGGGAACCCCCTAGGGATGGCAAGGTCCGGTTTGGATCTGGGCGTGGCCTTACTGCGCTGTCCTCCCCAGAAGCTCTCGAAATGTGCGACAGTTTCACACTTCGCAGCACCCCGGGGATGGCGAGGTCCAGTTTGGGTCTGCGTGGGGCCTCGCTGTGCGGGCTCCGCCAGCAGCCCTCGAAAATGGCGACAGTTTTACGCTTTGCAGCCCCCCAGGGATGGCGAGGTTTCGTTTAGGTTTGCGCGGGACCCCACTGCGCAGACGCTGCCAGCATCCCTCGAAAGCGGCGACAATTCCACGCCATTTCACAGCCCCCGAGATGGCGAGGTCCCGTCTGGGTCTGCGTGGTGCCCCACTGCGCGGGCCCCCCGGGCAAACAGGCGCAGGCAGGCGAGGGGGAGGCAGAGGGCGGGAAGAGAAGGAGAAGGGAGACGGCACCCTACTGCTCCATTCAGACAAAGAACCGGCCAAGGGAGGGTTGGGAATCACAAGCATGGCTTTGCAACACCTGTGCTCACCCAAACAAACATGCGCGATATATATATATATATATATATATATATATATATATATATATACATATATATATACAAATATATATCAGGTGTATATATATATGTGTATGTGTATATATGTGTATATATATACATGTTACAATATCAACGTCTGCCAATCGGCCCCTCGCGCCGCACTTCGAAAAACACTCGAACGCCCTCGCGCGCGTGCTTGGGGGGGGCACGACCCGTATCAAATAATACTACGCGGGCCATTCGCGCGGCCGCGCGCGCATGTCGAAATCCTTCCAAAACCTTCATCGCCGACGCGAATGCGCCGACATCGTCGTCGGCGTGATCAGCACCCGCGCCGACACTGGCCTTGCCGTCGTCGTTGCCATCATCGCCACCAGCATCGTTACCACCATCATCGCGTCTACCGTTGTCGACGTCGCCATACCACCGCGCCCGCCCAACTCGCCGACTCGCGTTGAAATGCCCGCTGGGATGTGCCAAGCGGTCAGCGCCACCGCGGCCGCGTCGGCAACGCCAAACTATCTGGCCGCTGCGCGCGCGAGCATGCGCGGGCTAGCGCGGCCGCAAAAATGCACCAGCCAACTCCAAGCACTCATCACAATCGCCGCAGCATGGGCTCCGCAAGCCAAGTTGCGGGCGGGCGGATGGGGCGATTGCGCGAGCAGTGGAGTGGACTACTCACTGCGAACAAGAATTAGTTTAGCCTCAAAAATTGCACCACATGGACTGCACCACACAGATCTTCCATGTCAAAGATTGACAAGGTTTGCCCGCAAGTAACGGTTCCCTTTTTGGTATTGCAATTGTCAGATGATTCTGCCGCATCGTCCATCCAAACAAAATATGAGGTCATGCCATCCCAGGCACGCCAGCATCGGCAACCCCTCCCTTTTTCATCCTCTGTAAACAATATTATGCGCGCACACCCGTTGATACAAAGAACCGGTGTTCAAGAATCCTCTGCGAAAAAACTAAGTGCACGCGCGCACGCCGTCGCGCGCGCATGCCGAAATCTTTCCAAACCGGAGGTTTCGTAGGGATTTCAAAATCGAGCGCCCCGCAAATACATAAAAACACATGGCTTCGCAGTAAAATTTGCAAGAAAACAACCGAAACGACCAAAAATGCGCCCGCGCGCTTGCAAATTCCTACGACAGGCATGGGCTGTGAAACATGTTCAAAAATTGTGACCAAACCTCTCGCGCACGCATTCAGAATCGCTCGAACGCACCTGACCGCGCGCTGTCGCAATAATCCTTTGCAAAAACCAGGACGAAGTGCACGCGCG